TGAGCACCAAGGGTCATACGGGGACCAGGTTTGGGGACCAGGCCCCGCAAGGGTACATCTTGCTTCACTCACATTTCGGTGACTAGGAGTCCGTTCCGTGGCTGGGAGATGTGGGCTAGCTGTGCGCCCAGCAGGAAAAGAAAGAGGGTCTGCTGATCGGCCAGGCCGTCTGGACCACGGCAGGTGAAGAAACATGAAGGTCCAGTAAGTGTCAGCCACAGCCATTATTTACCTAACGGCACTCTTGAAAACCTTGCCCATCGTTACTTCCGTTAATCCTCGTGACTCCCACCCTGGGGATGGAGCTAAGCGGGGAGCAGCCTTCCCATTTTCCAAATGAGGAAACTCATGCTCAGAGAAGGGCAGTGACGTGCCCAAGATTACACAGCTGCTGAGAGGCCGAGCTTGGGATCGGAGTCCAGGACTTCCCGCCACATCACACCGTTGCCTTTCTCTCCGGACAACCAGGGGAAAGGAGAGGGATCGTGGAGCCAGGGGTCCTCCGTTGGCCTCTGTGTGTTCAGCTGAGTTGGTGAACCCCCCAGCTTAGGCTCCAGTGGACCCAGGGGCTGAGGAAACTGATCGGAGGTCAGGGCCGTGAGCCTAGAGTTGAGCTCAGCTTGAACACCAGCTCCCTGGGGCATCAGGGTGGCCGGCCTGGGCCCCAGGGTCGGCATCTGCCCTACCCCAGTGCAGCTAAGAGGTCCCTGTCAGTGGGTCAGCCACCAAATATTTATCCAGCGCCCCCGCTGTGGTGAGTAGTGTTGTAGGTTTCAACAAGCAGAGCCTGGGAGCAGGAGACATGCGAAATCCAGGTAGGGCTTACCTGATGAGCCAGATTTTTAGCGCCCGAACTCCCACCACGAGCTGGGGCCCTGACCTCACGGCACAGCATTTTCACCAGGACCCATGGAAGGAAGGACTTTCAGTTCTGTTTTTGCAGGTATAGGGACGATAATGGTGAAGTCGATTCTGGTGACGGCAGCGATGTCATCCGACAATCCTGAACGCTGTGCGCCCGGCAGTGCCTGGGTGGGAGATGGACCCTCTTTAACTTCCGTCATAACCCTACGAAACGCAAATTCCCTTCTCGCTTCCATCTGACCAGAGAAGGAAGCTGGGGCTCCGAGAAGTGAGCGATTCCCCCTGCGTCACAGGGCAGGTGGAGGCTGCACCCAGGATTCACGCCCTGGGACCTGACTCCAGCGTTGCAGGGCAGCCGATGCCCCGAGAGAGGCACTGAGCTCCTCCTGGACAGAGCCTCCAACAGGCCGTCTGTATCCCCGGCTCTGAGCCCAGGGCCTGCGCAGGGTAGGTGCGCGGGGAAGGTCTGTTAGGAACGGTTTGTGCACGGTGATTTGTACGGATGTGAAATCCCACCTGTGCCTTGATGATACCCCTGCAGGCAGGAAGCATACCAACCCATCCGAAACGCTCACGGATGAATGAATGAATTCCTGCAGTTGGCCAACCCAGATCAGCTGGCCGGCTCTTCCCGGGAGAATCATGCCTGGGCCATCCCCGCTGTCCATTTTCCAAGCAGCCAGGCCTCCCAGAACCTCCTGTGCCAGCTCAGCCCGGGCCCCCACGGACCGACCAGCCCCCGCTGCTCCCTAGGATAAACCCGTCGGGGGGATATGGGGACCCATTTGATCTCCCAGGTGAGAAAGGCCCGTGATGCCCCCTTCCTCTGCTGCCTGGGTCTTACAGGGAAAGAAAGCCCACGGGGGTGGGGACTGGAGGAGGGAGGTGGGGGCTTTGGTCTGTTGCCAGAGAGAGGGGGGAGGAACACACTTTTCCCCAGACAAGCTGTTTGCTTCCCAGCTGACTTTGGTAAAAGAAAAAATATTCCTAGTGCCATCTGTTCCCAGAGCGGGGCTGGTGTGGGGCCTGGGGCTTCCTGTGGCTCAGGCAGCCAGACCCAGTTTCAGAATCGGAGACAGCTGCCCCCTGGATTATTTCGGGAAGCGGCTCAACTCCGCAGCACCGCGGCCGTCCTTCGAGGCATTTCCCGTCGCTCCGAAGCTGTTTGCACACGCAGCCCCAGACTGCCAGCTCCTTCTCAGGCCTCAGGGCCTCCTGTTCAGCCACTGTCATCGTCCTGCTTCCTGCTTCCTCCTCTGTAGGAGCCAGACTCCCCGGGGTGGAGGGGGTGGGGGGCCAGGACCAGGGAGCTAGGCTGGGGGAAGGGCAAGACTTGGTTCCCCGGGAAGGGGGGGAAGGGAGCGTCTAGAGGAGTCTGGAGTCTGGCGGCCAGGAGGCTGGAGAGGGGAAGTCAGGCGGTCGGACAGGGGAGGGGCGAGGGCTGACCTGGATATGGTGAGTTGGGGGGGGTCCCCCTCCCCCACCCAAGGGACGCCGGCCCGGGCAGTCGGAAACGGGGGTGTGGTCTGGGAAGGCGGATGGCGGGTGTCAGGGGCTGGGGGGTGGGGGCTGGAGTTACCGTCCAAGGGGGACCGAGGGTCAGTTTGGCGAGACGGAAGGAGTTCTGGGGACGGATTGGTGGGGATGGTCGCGGGACAATGTGAAGGACCTTAATGCCACTGATCGGTGAACTCCAGACGTCAGGTGCATTTTTCCACAATAAAGCGACGGAACGGTGCCATTAAAAGGCAGAGCTGTTCAGATTGGCCAGAAGGATACGGCTATTTGTGTCTGCAAGGAATCCTCTTTACATACAGAGACACAGACAGTGTGAAAGTAGCAAGATGGGAATGATAGCTCGCTGTGTTAGCATCAGACAAAGGTTTCAGCGCAGGAGATACTCCAGGGGACCAGAGCACAGACGGCACTCCCCGGGGGGCCCCAGGTGAGCATCCTGTCCGCCTGCTCCCACACCGGCCCCTCCCGCCCTCCCTGCGCCTGTCGCCCCCTCCCACACTTTGAACGTCTCCCTCTTCCCCCACCCCCTTCTCTCATCCAGAACCTTCCAGCAGTCATTTATTTTTTATTTAAAAAAATCGTTTTTAAGTTTATTGATTCACTTCAAGCAAGACAGAGAGAGGGAGCAGGGGAGGGGTAGAGACGGAGGGGTGGAGAGGGAGAGGGAGAATCACAAGCAGGCTCCGCATTGCCAGCGCGGAGCCCCGACGCGGGGCCTGAACCCACGAACCGTGAGATCACGACCTGAGCCGAAACCAAGAGGGAGACACTTAACCCAAGAGCCACCAGGAGATCCCCCGCCGTCCCCAGCAGGCCTTTAATGGGGCCAGGTCCTCTGCACTCCCCGCCTCGGCCCTCAGCCTTGGTCCCCTTCACACCAGGCTTCCAGAAAGCACGAGTCAGGGCCGCCCCAGCCGTCTTGCCTCGCTCGTGCAGGTGGACAACGTTGACCCCTATTCAGTGTCACGGCAAATTTAAACGTGTCCGTTAATTTTCTGTAGCCTTATCGAGGAGTAACCTATAAAAGGAAAGGTCCCCCAGTGTTTTAAGTGCACAATTTGATGAGTTCTGATGAAGGCATATAGTCACGGAACCGCCGCCCCAACTCTCATGACGCAGGGCAGTGCCGCCTCCCGCAAAGGTCCCTTCGTGCCTCTTTGGTGTCGGAACCCTTCCCCAAGCCCCCCTGGGAACCGCCCCCCGCCCTCCCTTCCCACCGCAGTTTGGCCTTTTCTAGAATTTCTTACAAACTGTAGCATCAGCGCATCGCCTGCTGGGCCTCCCGTCTGTCACCTGCCCCGTGCTCCTGGGGTCCTGCCCACTGGTTCTGTATCGGCACCCCCTCCCTCGGGGCCACGCAGGACCCAGTGCGCGGACGCCCTGTGACCCGTGTATGCCTTTGCCAGCGACGGACGTCTGAGTCCTTCCCGATCTGAGGCGTCTGTGAACAGCACCGCCACGTGCGTGCAGGTCTTCGCGTAGACGTACGTTTTCATTTCTCTCGGATGAACGCCTAGCCGTGAATCGGCCGGGTCGGACGATGAGGGTCTGTTTTAGTCCGGAAGGAAACCGCCGAACTCCTTGCCGAACCCGCATCCCCACCCGCGACGTGTGCCAGGTCCCGGGGCTCCACGTCCTTGCCCACACTTGATATCGTCAGACTCTTCAACTTCGCCGTGACAGGAGGTGCACGGCGGGCAGTCCGGCGGTTTTACTTCCCTAAGGAACGACCGTCTGGGGAATCCGGGTTGGTCAGCTCAGGCTGCTGTGACGGCAGACGGCAGACCGGGGGGCTTAGACATTCATCGCTCACAGTTCTAGAGGCTGGAAGTCCGAGGTCAAGGTGCCGGCAGGTTCAGCTCCTGGTGAGAGGCTTCCTCGCGGCTTGCAGATGGCCACTTTCTGGCTGGGTCTTCACGTGACAAAGACAGAGAGAGAGAGAGAGAGAGCCCTGGTGTCTCTCCCTCTTCTTATTAGGACGCTAATCCCATCACAGGGCCCCACCCTCGCGAAGTCCTCTATAGCTAATCGCCTGTGAGTCCAGAGGGGAGGGGAGCAGGTGGATGGGGGTGGGGTGGAAGAGAGACCTCTTGAGACCGTCTCACCCTAGACACAAACTCCTGATGCCACACCCCATGGGACGTCCTCCCACACGCCACAAGCCCCCCACCCCAAAGCCCCCCACCCCCGCCCCCAGATCCAAGGCTGTCAAACTGGTAAAACCCCAGACCCAGCGGGGGCCCGGAGCCGGAGGGCAGGGGAGAGGCAGCCCTGGGGGTGCCCAGCTCAGTCGTCCCCTTGCCAGCCCCGACCCCCACCCCCTGTGCCTTGTCCTGGCTGGTTCCCGCCACACATCAGCTCCTGGGACGGCCACGTTCCACCCCCCTGCAGGGACTTGTTCTTTGAGAAACACAGGCAGCAAGGGCCAGTTCTCACCACGGATGCCCTCAGAGATGAGACCCTGAGAACCTTCCACGCCCCGCCCCATGGAAAGGGGAACTGCTTTGGGGGGTCAGCTCGTACTTATGCATATTGAAGGGTCCTTCCCAGGGTACCGCAGGCTCCCCCAATCCCTCCCAGAACTACATTAGTTACTGTAAACTGAGTGAGGCCAGAGGTTGGTTCAAAACAGATCCAGGCCTAGTGAATTCAAAGATATTTGGATGGAAACGCGGATCAGGGATGGGGGGAAGGGGCAGGCGTGCCACAGACACACAGGGAAACAGAGGGCAGCCGGCTGTATGGTGGGGGAGGTCCCTCTGTGGCCCTTGGGCCCTCCCTTGGGTCCTGCAAGCAGGCTCAGAGAAGCAGCTTTGGGGGGGCAGTGACAGTTAATTCGGGGATCCACGGGGCGTGATGTCTGCGTTTTCTTTCAGCTTGTGCTTGCGAAACAGGCTGTAGAGGACACGCAACGTGCTCTTGGTGTCCTTGTTCACGATGTCTGCAGGGCAGAGGAGAACAGGACAGCCGGTCAGGCCTAGGCGGGGGTGGGGAGGGGGTGGCCACCGTCCCACTGTTGCCCGGGACCGAGTGGCTTCCTGGGACACGGGACTTCCGTGCTAAACCGGGGGGTGGGGAATCCCTGTCCAACAGGACAGCTGGTCCCGCCAGGCCTGAGTCCCAGGACCCTCACGTGGCCCTGCCTCCCTGCTCCTCCCCTGCACCCTGGTGCCCCCCACACCTGTCAGGACAGCCTGCCCCAGGGTCCCCAATCCCCCGTCTCCTCTCCCTGTGACCCCTCCCCCACTGGGGCTGGTGGAGGCTGTGGGCACCGCACCCCCTCATAGGAAGTCCCTGAAGAGACTCGGTGTCTGCCATGCCACGCAAGGGGACCGCACGGCCACATGCTCTCCCCTGACACCGCGGCACCCCCTCGAGCCGCACCCTCACCTTCGGGGTTGATGGGGTAGCTGAGCAGGCCTTCGTCCTTGAGCAGCTCCAGGGCCAGGGTGACATTGTGCAGCTGTGATAAGACCCCACCAGATGTTGGCAAAATGAGGGAGCCTCCACCCAGGTGCTGGTCCCCAAGTACCAGGCCCGCCCACCACTCAAGGAGTCCACCCCGAGTGGGAAAGGCAGTTACGGCGAGGGGCACCTAGTCCGGACGTCAGGGAGGGCTTCCTGGGGGAGGTGCCATCTAGAGGTAAGTCCTGCCAAGGGAGGGGACGTAGCCAGGGGTTTATCCTGACCTTGTCTGATGCAGCCCCAACGCTGTGGGCAACGGAGACGCCACCAGAAGCAGCTCAGCACAGATGGGGAAACTGAGGTTCTGAGTGGCCAAGGGGCTCCTCTGAGCTTACAAGACGGAGAGCGTCAGAACCAGGCCTGTCTCACTCTGATGTCCGGGCAAAGCAGGCTGGAGGCTGGAGCAGCGCCCCTGCCCAGGCCCACCTGGGCTCAGACCCCTGCTCGGTCGCCGGGCAACCTCCAGGCTCCCCCGGCCTGCCTTGCGCACGCACAGAGCGGGGTCCCCACCATTTCCCCCGTGTCCCGATCCGGGATGCTGGGTGGGGCGCCCTGGGGAGCCCTGAAGAGACGCTCTGTTAGCGGAGACTTCTGTGTTCACGGCTAGTTTCTCCCTGGGGCCTCGATACGATCAAAAAGTCCCTTCCCTTCCTGGGGCACCAGCCTGGTGTCTTAGAAGGAGACGGTGTGGGGTGACGGCGACGGTGCGGGGTGGGGTGAAGCAGGTCTGAAGGCAGCTAAACCCCTCATTCACTGTGACTTCAAGCAGGCCCTCCCTTCAATGGTCTCGGCCCCCGACAGGGCGACTGTGGGCCCCGGAAGGCCTCGACTGGCGGCCAGCCATGCGGCCCCATCCCCGCCCCGGCTTCCCACGGTCCCCATGGCAACCTCACCGGTGGCCTAGAGGCCCAGCGGGCAGAGGAACAGCCGAGCAAGGCCACTTGGGGAAGCCGGCCCAGCCCGGTGGCCTCCCAGTGGCTCTGGGTAGGAGGACTCTTGTGACCTGGACGGGGCATCCATGCCCCGACCCCCACCAGCTCACGGGTCACGGGTCAGGTAAGTCACCCGTCCCGGCTGGGCCTCAGTTTCCCTCCTCTTGCAACGAGCACAGCGCGTCTTCCAGCCTGCCTCCCCAAAGCTGCCACGTGGGTCAAACATGATGACGGACACGGAACGAAGGCCACAAAGCAAGAGCTGAAGGTGGGCGATGAAGGCACAGCGGGGGGCTGGCCTCGGCCGGGGCCTCCCTGCAAATTCCCTGTGTCTGGGCTCCCGCGGGGGCCAGGAGATGGGACACGTTTGGGGGGGTGGGGCTCGAAGCCCCTAAGAGAGCTCTCCCGAGGGTCACCCCGTCCTGGTCCGAGGACACTGGGCGGGGCCGGGGAGAACCTTCCGCCCCACCCCCCACCCCAGGACTCCCGCTGCAACCTGGGGCAAGGGGCAGAGCGCTCCCTGGTGGCTGGTCGCGGCAGGCTGTGCGGGGACAAGGCGGGCCGTCTGTGGGGTCCCTCTCCACGGGGAGAGGTGTTGCCGCAGAGAATGGACAGAGACCCGGGCAGGGGGGTGGGGGTCCGAGACGCAAGAGTGGGAGAGGGGCGGCACTGTAGCCGGTCAGGAGGAGCCCCAGGCTGTCAGTGGTGCCAAGGCCCCCAGGCAGGTGGGACACACCACTGGGGCCGTGCAGACGCAGGTAGGAAGTCTCAGAGGGAGCAGGTCACGGCTCCATTGCTCGCTGCTGTCACTGTGTCCCCAAGGATTCCCCCCAGCCCGGAATATTCTGAAAAAAATGAGGGCCGCTGTTGTTCACATTCTCATCGTGAACACTAGTCACCGGCTGCCCACAAGGTAAGCGTCAGAATAAAAGGCTGAGACTGGACTCTCGGCACAGTGCTCTCCCGCCTCCCAGCCCTGCCTTTGATGGACTCACTCTCCGCACCGGCGTCTCCCAGAGCATGACCCAGGGCATAGAGGGAAAGGGCGTCTGTGACCAAACGGGTTGGGGAAAGGTTAGCGAAAAATACGATGGAAATCCTTCGCTGCGGGACTTCTCAGAGCCTTGACTGTCTACGGCGTACCGCGAACCTTCAAGACAACGCGTGGTTGCCCAAGTTATTTGACCGTAGGATCCACTTGTCATGGGGCCCCTCAGGGGACCAGTGTTTTGGAAACACTTGGTCCATTCACTTATTTAAAAAATATTTGTGAGCACCTACTGTGGGCTGGCTGTGCGACAAGGGCAAAATCACCCCCCCCCCCCGCTCCCTGCCCCCATGGAATTTGTGCTTTGAGAACCGCCACCATCGACACTGTGAGAACGACCACACTTGCTTCGACCTGTCAAGCCCGTGCTCGACCCGAGCCCCGCGGAGCTGCCGCAGGCTCCAGATCCGTCTCCCGCGCTCCTCCCTAAGCGTCACCTCGCTTCCGTGCACGGTGTGAGATGGTGACGGAGGCACCACGTTGCACGGAGTGGGGGGAAGGTTGTAACCCAGGAGGATGCGCTCAAATCCCCCCGGGGAGAAATAATTGAACGTGGGAGGAGGCCCGCGATTCCCGGAACCCGTGTGTTGCTTTCGGCAGAGCAGACCGTCGCCTCCCTCCCTCCGTCCCTAGAGCTCGTCTTCCCGAAAGGAATGACAGTCTCGCGGAACCACCGGTGGCCAGGAAGGGCTGATAAGGAGACCGCCAACGTCGAGGGGCCGCTCCGCCAAGATCACGATGCAAAGGGCTGGCGCTCCCGCCCTCTTCAGCTAATGACGTCTCGGCACTTTGGTCACACCCTCCTGCAGCTGAGACCTCCCACAGTAAAAATCCATTCTTGGGGTCTGAGCTCAGAGGACGCTTCTCTTCCCCTGTGTGGAATGTGGCTCATCGCGGGAAGCTGCTTCTAAAATCAGTGGGTTCAGCAGGCTGATGGCACCCGGGGACGTGAGGAGTCAGGACGTTTGTCCCTGGCTTGTAATGGGGTTTGTGAGCGTGCCGACTGTGGGGCGGAGGTTTAGAAGTCCCCATGGAGCCCGACAGCCGAGGAACAAAGAGGGGACCCCTGTGCCGTCCCGGGTCTTGGTTCTGCGCCCCTTCCCAAGGCTCCCTGGCCTGCGTGTGGCCCTCACTTCTCCATCCGCCTCCCCGCTCTCCTGCCTTCTCCTGCCTCCGTGTCCTGCCTTCTGGGTGCAGGGCGAACACCACCGCCCCGGCTGGGCTCTGACCCTCCTGAGCCTTCCAGCAGCTTCGGGCAAGCCTCCCTCTTGGCCACGGAGAGGCTCACACCCCCCTCTGCCTCCCTTAGGGCTCACCCTGACTCCCCAGAAACAGGGAGAAGGCTCTGGCTTTGGAGGCAAACAGTGAGCCCACTGTTCCTGCTCCTACCTCTAGAACCACAGACGCTGCACGGCTCCAGCCGATTAGCTCCTCACCCTAGAGCCGAGCCCTTGAGAGTCTGAGCCCCGAATCAGTCTTCCAGTCAAGCGCGCTCCTGCCTCCTGGGAAGGTGGAGGCCGTGCCCACTGAAGACCGCGTCTCCGTGGTGCAAGGGGGAGAAGAACAGGCTGAGGGTCAGAAGGCCAGTGCTCGTGTCAGACCTGCCACTGAGCAGCCGAGTGGTCCTGGGCAAGCCCCAGAGCCTCTCCGGGCCTCAGCTTTCCCCTCTGTCGAATGGAGACACAACCCCTGCCCTGTCCCCCCGCAGGGGTGCGCGGGCTGGGGATGAAACAGGGTAAAGGGCCAGGTGAGGCCAGAAGTAGGATGTGAGCACGGCTGTGGTTCGGGGGCCTATGGAACACCGAGGAGCCTGGATGAGCCACGAACGTGGTCGGAGCCGACAGCCCGGCTAAGCAGGTGGGAATGAAGTGGGAGGCAGGGTAGGCAGAGGAGCCATCTGGGCAAAAGGCCTGGAGACGCGAGAGAACCAGGCTGCGGGTAGGCTGTGACGCTGAGACCAGGAGTCAGTGGGACACGGACGGACAGGGCTGTGGATGTGTAGGGAGGGGCCTGGAGGAAGGGACCAGGGTGTGGGGGGGGCGGCCAAGCCAGGATGGAACCCAGCAGCCCCCCCCCCCAACCCCAGGCAGGTCACGAGGTCTGATCCAACCCCGGAACCATGGCTCTCACCCTCCCCGGCAACGCAGCCGTGCCAAAGGGGATGGAAATCCTTCCTTGGGATGGATGAATGGGTGGGTGGGTGGATGGATGAGCAGATAAATAGGCAGATGAAGGGATGGCCAGGCAGGTGAGTGAGTGGATGAACTGGCAGATAAGCAAATAGGCAAGTCAATGGATTGGTGTGAGGGTGGATGGCTGGCTGGCTGGCTGGCTGGTTG